CCTCCCCACCTTTGGTGTTTAAAGCCTGGTCCTTTTGGCCCTTCATGATCACACATGTTGGTGTGCTGCTTCCATGTGGGCTTTGTTGCTTCTGGGCTATTTTTAAGGGGAACATAAACTCTATATTTCATTAAGGCAATGGTTTGTTTGTTTTTTTAAATTCTTTTCTTTGACTTCCCTCTGCTTATACCCAGGAGCACACTGGTGGCCTAGAGGGGTACACATTAGGCTGCTAATTTCAAGATCAGCAGTTCAAAACCATCAGCTACTCCACGGGAGAAAGATGAGGCTTTGTCCTCCTATAGGCCTCAGAAGCCTACAGCGGGCAGTTCTACTCTGTCCTGTAGGATCCCTGGGAGTTTGGGTGTGGGATCTGGTTTTATCTTTCCACGAGATCCACCGATCTTCATGGCCTGCTCAGCCCTTTTAGCCTAGTCTCTTGTCTCCCTTTCCTCTCCCACTTCAACTCACTTGACCGATCCTTTGGCCACTTGACTACCTTTGATACTGGGCTGCCGACCCATTGCTAGAAGAGGGTGCATTTCAGACCAGTGCGGTTACTTGCCCTGGAGAATCCTGGAAATAGGTTGCCTTTACTGACTACCGTGCCAGATCCTCCCTCACGGATAAGTTATACTTGAATGAGTGATTTTCATACAAATGAATGAATGAACAGCAGTAGTATGCGGCCATCTGGGCACCACATTTTAAATGCTGACTCTCTTCTGTCTTGTCGTCTGCTCCTAGGAGATCCTGGATGCTCTAGAAAAAGCAGAGCCCAAGACTGAAGACCTCAAGTCTCAGCTGAATGATCTTTGCCACTTTTCCAGAGACCTCAGCCCATACAGTGGGAAAGTTTCGGGCCTGATTAAAGAATATAACTGGTGAGCGCGACCCTGATGCTCAAAAATGCTTTTATAACATGAGCAACTGCCAAAGCCAAACCCATAGCCACCAAGTCGAGGTTGATTCACATACTGCAGACTAGAACAGCTCTAGAGGGTGTTCACAGGGCAGTCTTTATGGAAGCAGTTTGCCAGGCCTTTCTTACTCTGTGTCCAGAGTGGATTCCATCCTCCAACTCTAGGAGTCTAGTGCCAACTCCTTGAGTCACCCAGGGACTTTAAATTAAGAACTCATGGCTTGTTTCTTTTAAGGTGTGATTTTAGTTATCAAGTAAGCAAATTGATCATAAAATAGGCAAAAACTCACTGCCACTGAGTCAATTCTCACTCATAGCAACCGTATGGACAGAGTGTACCTGCCTCTCTGGGTTTCTGAGGCTGTAAATATTTGTGACCTCGTCTTTCTCCTGCTAAATATACAGGGGGGAGAGAGTGAGGGGAGCTTCAAGTAGGCTGTAGAACAATTTCATTTTCCCAGGAACTTTTTGAAGCCCAACCCACCTCCTGATATTACTAAATAAAGTGAGTGCCTATTCAAAGAACAATGTATTTGAATAAATACTATTTTAACCTACTCTCTCATTTTCTCCTTACATTAAATGCTTTGAATCATGGATTTAGTCTTTGTTTGAAAGCATCCAAAGGCTGCCAGAATAAAGAACAGATTTTACAGCAAAGATTTCAAAAGGCCTTCAGGGATTTCCAGCAATGGTTGGTAAACGCCAAACTCACCACTGCCAAATGTTTTGATATACCTCAAAATATTAGCGAAGTTTTGACAAGTCTTCAGCAGATACAGGTAAGGATATTACCAAGGAATTATCATGTGCTAACATAGATCTGTTCATATCCCTCTCCATCTTTAATGCAGTGCATTGCACACTGAAGTTTGCTTCTTCTTCTTGTTGATGGGACGTGCCGGATTGGTTGTCATCTTTCTAGGACCAGTTCGTCATGTCTTTGTCCCTCCGTTTTTCTCCTTCAGAGCTACTGGGTGGGTTTGAACTACCAACCTTTGGGCTAATAGTCCACTGTTTAACCATTGCACTACTAGGGTCCCTTACATTTCGTCCTACTATTGTGTGTGCTATCAAGTCATTGCTGTCTCATAGTGACCTGAAAGGCCAGAGTCGAACTGCCCCCTAATGTTTCCTAGACTGCAGTCTTCCCTAGAATCCACCTTCAGGAGGTGTTTTCACTCATGGACATTGAGTCAGTGCTCACTCATAGTGACCCCTGTCCCCCTGTGAGTTTCTGAGAATGTAATGGTTTCTTCCTCAGAGCGCTTGATGGTTTCGAACTGCTGCACTAGTGGATCAAAGCCAAATGCATGAGCACTGCACCAGCAGGGCTCCTCATAGGAGGTGCTAGTGGAGTCCAGCTGTCAGGCTTTCACCAGCAGCAGAGTGCTTAATGGTTGTGGCACCAGGGTTCCAAGTTTTGCTTATGCAATTCAGATTTCAAGTAATGTCCTGCTCAAATAATTAATGTGTGTACAGAGAGAAGCCGCCATGTTCTCATAAATAGACAGCACTGAAAAGATATCAGAAAATAATGAGAACTAGAACAAATTTAACATGGATCAAAAGGGAGAACAAATGATAAGAAGCCAAATCTTAACCTAGCTCGATCTGCATTAGTCCATTTTCCATTGCACTCCATCTCATAGCAAAACAATTCACATCCCTGGTCAAAAGTCAGGGAATTCACTAGAGTCTTAATCCACAGGGGGACTCTGCAGATGGATTTGGGCTTTTACCTGTCTTCCCGAGCCTTTTGTAAACAGAGTGCTCAGAATTTAAGCATTAGTACTCTTTCCTCTTCCAGTCTTGGAATTTGTTACTTACAATCCTTGGATCGCAAGGATTTTTACCCACAACAGGTAAAGCTCTAGAGACAGTAACCATATTATTGATTTCTGTAGGTTATCGCATGGGAGATTGTGGGAAATTGAAACTGATGATGACTTCAAAAATAAAGAAAATATTTTAAAATTGATTTTAGTAGGTGTTGCACACTCTTTTTAATATGCTTAAATATTGAACTGCCAAAAGAACTTAAAATGTATATGTCAATAAAACTGTTATATGTGAATATGTCAATTAGATGTTCATAAAACTGTTAAAATTTTTAAAGGCACAGTATTCTTATGTATAGTACCCGCTTGACATACAGCCTAGTTCGGGTACATGGAGATCTCAAAGTATATCAAACTAGGCCTGGGCTCCATAGCATTTTCAATGGCTGTAGAACATTATGCCTTTTTCTTTAGGGTCAGTTTTGAGTGGATTTGAACCTCCAAACTCATGACTAACAGCCAAGCACCTTAGTCTTTTGATCACAGGAACCTTCACATTTGGTGTCATTGTGTCGTTGCTAATGTACAGCCGCCTCATGCAACAGAATAGACCTGCCCCAATGGTTTTCAGGGTCGCTATCTTGCCAGAAATGGATGCTCAGGACTTTCTCCCATGGAACTACCGAGTGGATTCCGATGCCATCCTTGTAGTGAGCAACTCGCGCTCAGTGTTTCCTCCAGCAGGGCTTCTGTGTGCGTGGTCAGGACCTTGAAATAATCAGAGTTCTCTCCATGTGACATTGTGTCTAAGCACTGTCAACGGATCGCCATATTTTGATCATAATCACCGTATTCAACAAAACGACCGAACCCACTGCCTTTGAGTCTGAGTCCATTTGGACTCATACCAACCCTGCATTGGACGTCCGAGTCTGAAAATATTGACGGGCCAGATAGCAGTCTCTTTCTCCCTGACATCTACATTAGGCACATGGAGTCACTGTTCTCCTTTTACAGTTAAGGTCCTGTCTTAGTGAGGTCACACAGGTGCCCTGTGAACTAGCAGACTAAGAACCCTGGTAGTGTTGTGGTGGCGCATGGGGCTACTAACTGAAAGGTCAGCAGTTCAACACCACCAGCCGCTGCTCAGGAGGAAGATGAGGCTTTCTACCCCTCTAGAGAGTTATCGCCTCAGAAACCCATAGTGGCAGGTCTTTCCCGTCTGAGGGATCCCAAAGGGACCTGCCATTGAATCAATGGTGAAAATTTAGTTTGGGGAAGGGGAAAGCTTGGAGCTCCAATGCCCTCTGTCTGGGGGGAGGAATTCAGAACTGCTCTTGAGGACAGTGGTGGCCTTTCCTCTGTTGCTCCCTCCTCAGTACATCTCCGTGTCCAAGGTTGGCAGTCTATTAAGACACATGTTCTGGCTTTTGATGTTAACAGACCACGTAGAGTATTTGCTCTTCTGGGTCTTGGCAGAACTGATACACTGGGCTCGTGCTTCTCATTTCTTCTCAGACACCTGATTAAAATGTGTGGCATTTGACTGTGCAGTAGAGGTGCCACCAATTTTCTGAGAGGAGCTCTGGTGGTGTAGTGGGTCACACGTTGGACTCCTCACTGCGAGGCCATCAGTTCAGACCTACCAGCTTCACCAAGGGAAAAAGACGAGGCTTTCTGCTTCTGTAAAGTTTTAAAGCCTGGGAACCCCTAGGGAGCAGCTCTACCTCACCCTATCGGGGACCAATGAACCACTAAGGACTCCCTGGAAGCAGGTTGGGTTCAGTATTTTTCTAGTGGGAGACTGTCATCTTTGGATCTCGGCAGATAAGTAAAAACACATGCTTTTACTGCACTTTATTAAGTAGCATGTTAAATGTCTTTGATGGACTTTGCCAAGGACAACCTCTGTTACATAGATACACACACACACACACACATATATAAACACACACATATATACATATACACACACATATATATATATATATACACACACATATATATCTCATAATGCTGCCTGTGAGGAGGAACTCAAGAAGAAGAGACCCTCCACAGAGAGAGATTGACACAGGAACTGCAACAGTGAGCTCACAGGAGCTTAATCGGTGAGCTCACACCGAAGAGTTGTGGGGATGGCACGGGACCAGGTAGTGCTTCCTTCTGGTGTGCATAGGATCTCGGGGTGTTGAAACTGACTTGGCAGTGCCTAGCAACAGCAGCACACCCAATAATGTCATAGTCTATTTTATTTAATGACCTTTTCTCTCCAATGATGCTCCAGGACAATTCACCTTGTCCTGCTCCAGGGATAGTTAGTTGTGCTTCTGCTGAGCAGACGGTTTGATGTTTATTTAATCTGGGAATCCATGAGCCATGTATCTGCTCTGTTTCCCTTTTTGCTGTGACAGCTAGGATGCTCAGAGCCAAAGTCACAACCCAGCTCCACCCATTGTACAGAACCATGAAGTATTTATTTTAAAAATAAAAACTCAGTCTTTTCCTGTGTGCATCTTATTTTCCAACTCTTATTCTGTCTTTGTTCTCATTTCCCATTCAGTTTATAGTTATCTCATCATTAATATTTTATGAGATCATGCCCAACCTTTATTGGGACATGTCAGAGTTTGAATAAATACATAAAATAACTTACCACTTGACTGTTAGATGAAGACTTGAGGCATTGCATACATGTGATAAAAATCGCTCATCACTTCTCTGATTTTACTGAGATTTTAGTAGATAAAAAAAATCAATATCCTTTAGCACGTAGAACATTTCTTCATGCCAATCCTATTTTTCTTCGTAGGAGTTTCTGTCAGACAGTGAAAATGGACAGCACAAACTCAACACGATGCTATCTAAAGGCGAACTTTTGAGCACTATGTTGACCAAAGAGAAAGCTAAAGATATCCAGGCCAAACTCGAGGCAGCGAAAGAAGACTGGAAACACTTTCACTCAAATCTTCACCAAAAGGAATCTGCTCTGGAGGTAGTTATTGATAGCCAGCCACATGGGCACGTTCTGTGGTGGTATCATTGCTAGCTCATATTCACCGAAACCATAGCTTCAGTGTCTCTAGGGCTGCTCGTCAGTGGTTTGGGTCGTCCCTCTGAGGCTAGGTGGGCACCTGTATAAGCACAGGAAGGGACTCAACGCTGCAGTGGGAACCTCCCTGTGGAGTGAAATCACTCTTGTATGGCAGGGGCTCTTGTAGATACACCCACGCTCCATCCCCACAGGACCAGCCTCAGACCACCCAGGCCTTCATTCAAATGACCTCAACAGTGTGAATTATTCTAGGAAATGGACAGACAGGCAAGGAGGCAGGAGATGGAGGGTGTCACAAAGCTTATGGGAAAATTCCACCCTCAATTCCATTTTCCATGAACTATTTGAAGTCCCTTCACATTTATGGAAAGTTGCAAAATGCTACAGGTGCGAGGTACCTTATACAGTGAACCCTCGTTTATCGCGCTTAATCCATTCTAGAACCTACCGTGATAAATGAAATTCCGCAAAGTAGGATTCCTTATTTGTAAATCAAATATTTTCATAGTTAGAGCATAGAGGACATGAAAAAACACCCTTTAGTCACCATTACACTCGTATTACCCAATTTATTAAACGAAAAAGGGAAAATACAGTAAAACATTTTGGACGTTACAATTATCATTTATTATTTATTATATTATTTACGGCATCTAGTTTACAGTATTACATATTTCACATACAGTATTATTATACATAGTTCTTACAAATACTGTAATCAATGGCGTGCAACCTCCATGATTTTCTTGCCATCTTTGATCATATCCAAAAGTTTTACCTTTTCCTGCATGGTGAGCATCTTCCTCTGGCACTTATTTTTATTGTCAGAAGGCTTAGAAGAAGCAGCTCATTTAGGAGCCATCATAGGGCTTAGATAAAATTTCTTAAAAATCACAAACAATTACAGTACACTGTACAAAAGCAAAAATGCATCTGATACGTAGCTCCGATACGTAGCGATGCAGACAGAAGCATGTACAGTACGAGTCAATCAGTGGCAGTAATGACAGAGCATGCGCTGTTACGCAAAAACCGCGATAGAGTGAAGCCGCAGAAGTCGAAGCGCGAAGTGGCGAGGGTTCACTGTACTTCATAAGAATATCAAGTGGTAGATTTTTCAAAGTGCATCACTTAAAGAGAGAATACTTGTACAATTCCATTTTATCTGGAGGCCATATTCCCCGAGTGAACTATGATCGTAACATCCTGACTACCACAGTGCACTCAATGGTTTCTCTTCTGAGAGCATCAGTTTTGATTCCAACTCTTCTTCCCTTAAAGGAAATGTTAGAACCGTGGAGAAGACATTTTCCTCTTTAAAAAACACTCTCTTGCAAAATAGATCCTTAATTTGAGTCTGGCTATAGGATTCAAAGAAAAAAAAGAGAGAGAATTGCTATCACGAAAGTGGAAAATGTATATATCCACACTTCTCTCCTAACCCACGGTCACTGTTCTTCTCCTTTGAATGGTGGTGGCTCTTTGTCAGTGGCCACCTTCCACTTACTAGAGTGGGCTGCACACTGAGTCAAGCCCAGGAATATGCCCTCAGCCACTCGGGGATCATTCATTCCATGTGGCCTGAGCATTGAGCCGTAAAGTGTGGAATATAGCACATTTAGCATTGACCGCAAGACACTAGAGTTCAAGGCATGTCCGCGTAGAGGAGTAGGTCTGGAGGTGTTGCTTTCCTTTATCTACCTTTCTCATTACGACAGGCTTACTGCTGAGACGCCTTCTCTGCCTTCCCTTCCTCCCTCCTCCTCCCACTCCTACTCCTTCCACCCTTCCTTGGTTATTCCGTGAACTGTTTTGCACCAGGCACTAGGATGAGAGAGCACAGGGGACTAAGTCTTCTCCTTCTTTTCAGGGCATGCGCGTTCTAGAGGGGTAGACAGTCCTCTAAAGAGGTGATTGCGGTATAATATAAGTACGTCAAGGAAGGTCAGTGAGGTGCAATTTTACTGGGCTCTGCAGATACAGCATTCCTGGAATTTGCCAAGGTAGGGAGGCGTTCCTGGTAGAAGGCACTAAGTGTACAGGCCTAGAGATTCATGGGTGCTCTCTAGGCCTAGAGATTCATGGGTGCTCTCCAGGGACACTTTGAGTAGTTTGACACCAGCATGAGATGGTACACGAAGAGTGACAGGGATCCGGACAGCGGTAGGTATTAGGGCCAGAGAGTGAAGTGCCCTGTGTGCTAAGGCATTTGCTCTCAACCTCCCACCAGGCTCAGAGCACTGCATACATGTGTTTTCTATAAATGTGGGGCTTTGAGGGTTCAGAGGTGATTGTTGACGTCTGTGAGAGAAACCATTAGAAATGAACAAGAGTGCTCGATGGGAGGCCTGTGTATCCTTATCAAGCGGAAATGCATGAGTAACTCTCAGAGCTCGTTGACATTGCTCTGATTTTGTGTCTGCTACCCAGGCCCTTGCTCAGCCCTTGTCACTGCGTTCCTTTTTGGATTGGACCTCTGATGGGGCCCCTACCACTGTGTTCCTCCATCCTGTGTCTCGTAGCATCTAAACTCCTGATCACCAGTCCCCAGTTCTCCCTTCTGAGTGACTTCATGAGATGCCAGGCACAAGAAATTAAAAACAAAACTAAAAAAACCTTAGGTTCATGGAATGATTTACTTATTTAGCAATTTGAAGGGGGGGGCATTTCCCACTGGCCAGGACTCCTCTAGGGTTTAGAGATATTGCAGAGAATGAAACAGATCCAAATCCCTGACCTCATGAAGCTGGAGTGTTAGTAGAACTTGCCTTAGCATCTTACAATAATGGAGGGAGCCCTTTTACTTTTCCAAATCCTCCCCGTAATTAGCCCATCCCCTGAGAGGGGATCATCAATATCCTGGAGGACCTACAGATGGATCCATGAACCACTCTTCCATGGGCTCCCCTGGGTTTGGCCATTTTGGGCTTTCAGCGAACTCTTAGGGACCAGCTCTTTGGCAATACACCTTACAAGGGTGATCCATTAATGTAAAACTCTCTGGTGGGTCCTACTGAGAACATAACTAGACATTCTATTTACTTCCACCTAAGCCTTCCACCTAAGCCATATATGGCGGATATAGAGACCACTGCAAAAGTGAAATGGATCCAACTCATCACATACATTGAACAGCCAGGAATGCCTAAGAGAGTGGTTCTCAACCTCCCTAGTGCTGCAACCCTTTAAATACATACAGTTCCTCATGTTGTGGTGACCCCCCCCAAGCATAAAGTTCTTTTCGTTGCTACTTCATCACTGTCATTTTGCTACTGTTATGAATCAGGCGATCTCTGTGAAAGGGTCGTTTGACCCCCAAAGGGATTGCAATGCACAGGTTGAGAACCATTGACCTAAGAAGTATATTCCCCCAAATGGAATTTTTTTCAAAGCTAAGTATTTCAATTTTTTTTACAGAACAACCTTATCAAAGTACTCTCCATGACACTTAATGCATTTGTCAAATCTGCGATTCCATCCTTGGAAACATTTTCTAACTCATCTGTTTGGATGGCTGACAGCAGCACCTCCCTTGTTTTTTTTCTTCACTTCTTCTGTGTCACGAATCACTGTCCTTTCATGTCCCTCTGCATTCACACACACAAAAAGGAGTTGCAGAGAGCAAGGTCAAGTGAGTAAAGTGCATGGGGCAAGAGAAGCATGCTTTCTTTTGCCAAAAATGGTGCAGTGAGATGGGTGTTTTTGGTGGCACACTGTGGCACAACCTTTTCATAATCTCTAAATAGAAAACTTCATTAACAGTCTGGCCTGGTGGAACGAACTCCAAATGTACTATCCCCCTCATATTACATATGGATTTTGGGGGTACCCCCTCGTATGAAAATATGTATGGCATTGTTATACAATGGACATGTTAACCTTAATTTTGTATTTCTTATCTCATTAGAAATCCAAATGAACAAATTTTTTATGAAAAGGAGAGAACACATATAAACAATTTGCCCCTTCTTGCCTCATCATTAATCAAAACCAATGACATTATCAGCTGGCATTTAACAACTTTCTCAAAGGTACCTTGCACCTCCTGAGAGAACCCCTCTGGGGCTCCTTGTCAAGAAGTTGTGGAGACAAGGGATGAGGCATCAGAAGGAAATTCACCTCCCAACCCCACGCTGTGAAAAAGTGTATGCAGCAATCATAAACAGCAAATGTGATACACGTTGAGAAGTGGATCTCTTTGAGTTGGATTGATAGATATCAGTCTGGTGGTGGTTAGAGAAAGGTTACATTTTTTTTGGTTAGGTTTGGTTTTTGAGATAGACTCATGAGAACTCCTTCAAGGAGGTTATGGAATGATATAGGTGCCGAGGTGCGGGGTAGATGTTCTACATACTGTTTCTCAAAGGGAGTGACTGCCCTCTGGGGATGCTGGAACAATCTAGTGAGAGCTGTAGAAACAGATACCTACACTATCTCCTGGAATAGGAGTCATAGGGCAAAAGCTTTTAATTGCCAATTGGTACTGAGTAATTCCCCCCCGGCCCCTGAAATGGGAGCAGTAGTTACCAAAAATATTTGGTAACTTATGTCCCAGACCCGGCATGGGGGTTGTCTGGCTGCAGTGCAGACTCATCAATGCCAGCTAGCATCACACCTCTCCAAAGACAAGCAGTGGCTGCCATCATGCTAGGGGTGAGATCATGAAAGATTTGACTGACGCTGATGGACCACGCATAATCTTAGAAATATCTGTATGGCCCTTGGCAGATAAAAAGGTTCCCCACCCCACCCTTGGAAACGGTGACACAGAGAAGGGAGGCCTGGGATCTGGAAGGCTTGCAATGCTCTGGGAAGAACGTGGCATGTCCATTAAAATCCATTTGCCCCAAGGTCCCTAACCATGTCTGGGACTTCACAGAACCTGAAGCTCCAGATGAAGGACTTTGAAGTGAGCGCCGAGCCCGTGCAGGACTGGCTGAGTGAAAAGGAGAAGGTTGTTCGGGAGAGCAGTCACAGGCTCTATGACCTCCCTGCCAAGAGGAGAGAGCAGCAGAAGCTGCAGGTGAGAAGACCTTGGACCCCAGCCGACCACACTCTCCCCTCCCGCCCCCGCTCACCCCTGCGTCCAGAAGCCTGCTCAACTCCCTCCAGTTAGGCTTAGTGGTCCTGAAAACTAGTGTCCCCTGACCCTGTTTGTGACAGATTCTGTTTCCTGATTCTCCCAGCAGGCATCTGGACAGGGTGTGGCTGGGGTGGGATCCCGCCTCAGGTCGCCCTGATTGCCTGCCTGCCTCTGTGCGTCTCTAAGTTCTCCCGGTCCCAGCTCGTCTGCCGTGTGCTTTCTCCGGTCCCTTAACCGTAACTTGCTTGTGCGTTTCAGTCTGTCCTTGAGGAAATAAACTGCTACGAACCTCAGCTCCACAGGCTCAAAGAGAAAGCTCGGCAGCTGTGGGAAGGACAAGCTGCCAGCAAGAGCTTTCTGCACAGAGTGTCGCAGCTGTCCTCTCAGTATCTAGCGCTAAGCAATGTCACCAAGGTAACGCCTGCCACGTGCTGTGTGTGAATGTGGTGCCTGGAGTCGCGCTGGAGGGTTGCTTGGGGTGTCCGGTGAGGTGTCTTCAGGTGGGGAATGAGGCTTCCATGTGCTGTCCCACAACCCTGGAACCCAAGTTCATGGCTGTGCTTCTGCCGTCTGAGGTCGAGGAAGATTTCGAAGACTCATTCTGATCCCTGGTAACACACAGTGTTTCTTTCAGTCCTGGAATGAGAGGAGCCCCCAAGCTCTTGCCCCCAAAAGACACGAGGCAGAAATTCAAAACCCACTACCATGTAGTGAACTCCGACTGATAGTGACCCCACAGGACAAGGTAGAATGCTCCCCCGTGGGTTTCTGACACTGTAACTCCTTACGGGAGCACAGCAAGCCCCCACTTCCACCCTCAGAGCAACCAACCTGTGGTTAGCAGCCCGATCCGTAACCGCAACGCCACCAGGGCCGAAACAGAGGACGAAATGGAGAACTTTTGTCATAAAGGATCTCAGAAATAAATGTGATAGGAAAACCACGCAGGGGAAGGAGGTGACGCTTAGGTGGGTGATGTGTAAAGCGTTTGGGATAATGGCGTTTAAAACGTGTTTACAACCCTTAGCTGGCAGTCAGCAGTGTTTAGTTTGGCAGTTCTAAGCCACGCTGCAATTGATGATCATCCCTATAACCGAATCTCTTTGCAAATTGCTTCGGAAGAATAAATAGGGTTGACTCTGCCCTCGTGTATCAGGAACACCGTGGTGTTCCAGGTGCAGGTCTATGGTGCACTTGATGTGGTGTGAAATATTTCCCTTCCCATCGGCCTTCACATCCCAGATATTGGAATGTAGGAGACGTAGATACCCCTTCCTTTCATTGGGACCTGTTTCTGGTCTGCTCGCTCAGCCTTCAAGAGGAAAATCATTGAAGGAATCACTATGTAGGCTTTCTAGGAAACTGTCTGTATGTTTACACCTGTTTACTCTGTGAGAAAACAAAACAAAGCAGAGCTGTTAAGGAAGTCAATTCTCACTCTGTTTTTATGGACACTGGCTACTCTGTCTTTCTCATGAGAAATGGCTGGTGGATTCTAACCACCAACCTTTCTGTAACCAGACAAGCACTTACCGCTGTGCCACTGGACCGCCTCGTTTGTTATTATTATTATTGTCTTTAGAAAATCGGGCACAGACCTAAAACCAGAGTGAATTCAGGCCATCTTTCTATGCGTGGCACATTTACTTTAACGAAACAACAACAAACTCACAACCATCAAGCCGAAGCTGACTCACAATGACCCTGGTGGGACAGGGGAGAACTGGCCCTGGGGGTTCCTGAGACCGTAACTCTTCACCCGAGTCTTTCTCTGGCAGAGGGGCTGGTGGTTTTGAACTGCTGACCTTGCGGTTAGCCCAACGCCACCAGCACTCTTGTGGCAACTCGTTAGACACCAAAAACTAATAAACATTTGAATGCTTTAAGGGCCGTGAACTCTTTTCTAAAGCCTGACACTGTGTTGTACCAACCCCGACAATTAATAAATAAAACAACATTTACAGTCCCAGCTTTTTTAACGTGAGGGCACTGAGAAACTCTAGGTAATTATTTTTTAGGACTTTGTCTACCAGGTAGGCTTCATTGGTGGGAGGCCTCAGGTGACCCAAATGTGATGTGTGAAGATGACAAATGATTCCTGTTAGTCTCCCGGCAAGGGAAACACGAAGAAGGAATTTCACTGGTTCTAGGAAAGTGTGACGACTACAGTGATCCAGGAATGGTGGCTCCATCAAGTCCATGGAAACCGCCTCTCTTGGTGCCCCAGTGATCCTAGCATGGTTGCCATTGAGAAAGATGCGTCACGTATCTCCCAGGATGAACACACATGTACAGCACAGCGTCCCTGCAGCACAGGGACCCTGACTGGGGACAGCTTGCCAGGCAGGCCGTTTATGTGGGCCCAAGCAGGGTTTAGGCTAGAAAGCTTGGTGGAAGGGACAGCTCACAAATTACCACTGTCGTTTCCAGGAGAAAGTATCGAGACTGGATAGGATTGTTGCAGAACACAATCAGTTTTCCCTCGGGGTTAAGGAGCTCCAAGACTGGATGGGGGACGCCATCCACATGCTGGACTCTTACTGCGACCCCACCTCGGATCGCAGCGTGCTGGACAGCAGGATGCTGAAGGTGGAGGTGAGCAGACCCGGGCAGGCGCCTTGAAATGCCTTGTTTCTCTCAGTGCTCTTCACTCTCCGTCTGCTTGGCGTGATTCTCTCGCTCTGTCTCCAAGGCCAGTCTCCCAGGGCCTCTGAAGGGTGGCTGTTTAGGTTGCCTTGAATCAGCTCCTGGCTCGTGGCCTGGCTGTGCACAACGGAACAAATGCCTGGGCCTTCACCACCCCCATGATCAGCTACAGATCAGACCCCCTAGGATGCATCCACAGGGTTTTCATTGGTTGCTTTTCAGTAGATCACCAGGACTGTCTTCCTAGTCCTTGGTAGTCTAGACCAGCAATTCTCAACCTGTGGGGCACGACCCCTTTGGGGGTCAAATGACCCTTTTACAAGGGTCGCCCGATTCATAACAGTAGCAAAATGACAGTGATGAAGTAGCAACGAAAATAATTTTATGGTTGGGGGGGTGTTCACCACCA